CTCCCAGGCGTGTGCTGCCCGGACGCGAGGCGCCGCGCTCTGGCCTCGGCTCTGAAGAGGACACAGCGGACAAGGCGCTCTTTCACAGTCCCCGCCCTGGGTTTAAATCCCAGCTTTTCCCGGCCAGCTCCAGGGCTGTGGGCACGCGGCACAGCCCCCGTGAGCCTCAGGGCTCCCTCCTGTGAAGGGAGAGCACCGGCGCTCGCCCGGGAAGGGCCGCCGTGAGGACAGAGCCCCGTGCAGCCATCGCTCCGCAAACAACAGCTGCTGACCCTCGCCCTCCCAGACCTCAGATGCTCCTTCCCGACCGACCGTGGGACAGATCGCAGGCAGCCACCCGTCTGGTCCCGGCCCCAGGCCCGGGGCTTGCCCTGGGGGCTCTCCAGAAGGAGGCCATCGAGGGCAAGTCCTCGTGAGTCCCTGCCATGGCAGCTGGCCGTCCTCTGAGCTTGGCAGAGGCCTGGCCTCAAGCGGACAAAGTACCCCCCGCTCGCCAGGACATCTGTCTACAGGTCACCAGGGCCACAGTGGTAGTTTCATCAATGAGTTGGTGCCGCTCAGAGTCGCCCAACGGGGTCCCTTTCCGCCCCATCAAGGATGGAGGGGGACGACAGGCCCCTCTCCAGGACCTTAGACACACCCCAGCTCCTTTCTACTTCCTCTGCCATCTGGTGCCCAACCTCATTGAACACCCTACTCTAGCCTCACTTCCTTCAGGCAGTCTGCCCAGAGTGGCCTCAGCTGTATTAGGCTACTCCCTTACCAGCAGCCCTAATGGGCCAAGTCTGGCCTGCAGTGACTTGCTGCCCCTGTTTATTGAACACCTACTATGTGTCAGGGACTATCCTAAGCCTTTTCATCCATTATCTCTCGTTTAACCTTCACAACAATACAACCGTCCTACAAAGTAGGTCCTATGATGCCCATTTTACAGAAGGGGAAACTGAGGCTCAGAGAGGTGAAAACACTTCTGCAAGGTCACCAGCTAGTAAGTGGCAGAGATGCGGTTCAAACCTAGGCCAGTCTAAAACTCCAGAGCTCGTGTGCCAACCACTAACCAGTGCTGATCTTCTGAGGGGGTCCTCAGGCCATTTTTCCAAGCGTGTGTGTGTGTGTGTGTGTGTGTGTGTGTGTGTGTGTCCTGCCTGCCGCACTAGACTACTCCAAGGGCAAAGCTATGTCCCCTCCCCAGACTGTGAGCTCCAAAAGGGCAAGGCCCCATCTGCTCCTTCCTCAGTCTCTGCACATTGCCCAGTGAGGGACTCTGCCAAGGTCAACAGGATTCAGCACTGGGGGTCTGTGGATGGGGGGCCATGGTCAATGGGCCCTGGGTACTGTGGGGGCCGTGGTCAGCCGCCTTAGAGCTTGTGCCTTCTCCCAGACACAATCGGATGTCTGATCTTCCAGAAGAAAGTCCTCGGTCTCCAATTTCTCACAACTGCCCAGCGCCCAGTGCACTGGGAGCGCCCCCCAAGGTGGGGCCAGGAGGCTGCTCGTGCGGTCTGGAGGAGAAGGCTGGGGCAGGAGGGGCAGGCAGAGAGGTTCCAGGGCCAGGGGCAGGGAGTGGGCACTGAGAGACCCTGGAGCTGGAGAAAAGGGGGGGCAGATATTAACTGGCCCCCTGCTCCATACAGATTGTCACCCGCGGTGGCAGCAACACCCAAACCATATGCCAACCACTTGAGTTAGTCCAGAGGGTCACTGGTTTTAAGCATTGGCCACACGCTCAGTATCTCTCTCCGTTTGGAGGACACGAGAGAGCAAAGGGCTCCGGGGTCACACAGACCCGATTTCACTCCCACCTCTCTACGTCCTGGCTGTGTGACCTCAGGTAAGACTCTTCCCGTCTCTGAGCCCCACGTCCCTGCTCCCAGGGTTGACTGAGGACTAACTAGGTCAGGAGAGTAAAGGCTCTGGCGGGCTCAGGCTAAGCGCCCAACCAACAGCAGCTTAAAAATAGATAATGAACACAAAACAGCTCCTGGAAACAGCGCTTGTTGCCTTAATCTGGGCCCCACCACCTTCCCCATGTCCTCAGCACCTCGAGTGCCTGCCGTCTGTTCTTTCTCCACGAGGCAGGATGGCGCTTGAAGCCTCTGTAGCTTCCCCTTTCCCAGCCAAGAGGGTCTCAACTAGCTGTCTGCACAGGAGGTAAGGATAAAAATTAAAAATGAAAGTCATAGCTGACACTTATGAGCGCTTACTACATGCTAGGTACTGGTCAGAGGGCTTTACATGGATTAGGTCATTTAATCCCCTCCCAGCAACCCTAGGACATCAATACTGGCATTACTCCCATTTTAGAGATTAGAACACTGAGATACATACACAAAGTTACGTTACTTCCTGAGGTCTCAGAGGCAGAGAATGGTGGAGCAGGGATGCGAACCTGGGCTGGCCGGCTCCAGGCTGCACTCCTGATCTCTCTGGCCTGGCACGGAGAAGCAACTGCTGCCCGATGCTGGGATGGGCTGGCTCTCCCAGGTGTGGCCTGGACCTGGGGTTTGGGGTTTGGCTGGGGTGACCTCAGCTGCATACAGGCTCCGGGCTCCATATGGGCATCAGCATGAGGCTCCAACCCCTGGCCTGACTGCAGGCTGCGTCCCTGGCCCAAGGACACGCGTGGACTAAGGGGGCTGCTATTAGGAGTTGGTGCAGGTGTGGAGGCCAGGTGTGGGGCTCAGAAGCTCACGGAAGCCTGCAGCTGGGGAGGAGCAGGACAGGAGCTGGCACCTGGGCTGAGGGCGGGCTGTGCCGGGCAGAGGCCGAGGGCCCAGGCTCTGGAGTCTGCGAGACTGGGTTCCAGTCCCGCCTCTGCTATTTCTTAGCCATGTGGCCCCGCCAAGTCACTCAACTCCCCTCTGCTCAGTTTCCCCATTTGTACAATGGGGACTGTGATAGTATGTACCCCAAATTAACTAGTTGTGCCCAAAAGGTTCCAACCAGTACCTGGTAAGCCATAAGTACGCTGAGACTATTAGTGACAGAGGGGTGGACGGCCTCCACTCAGGGGTTCACGGGACGACGGTGTCCTCTGCTCAAGCAGCCCTATACTTTCATCTTTATCTCATTTCTCTGCATGCACATTGAGCTCTAAGTGGCCCTACCCTCTCAGGAGGGAGACAAGGTTAGAATACACAACCAGATCTGGAGGTGGCACTAGGGAGCCCAAGCCACAGAAGGAAGGGTGGAGAACGCCCGTCTTGGGTGGTGTGACCTCAAACAGGCATGGCAGAGGGTGCCAGCACTGGGTGGGAGTTCAGAGGACCTGGGCCCCACCCCAGTCCTGACACCACCTCGCAGTGTGACCTTGGTGGGCTTCTCTTCCTCCCTGGCCTCTGCACTGTGCTCAGCGGGTCTGCAGCTCACAGGCAAGTTCACGAGGGGCTGGGCCCCCAGTTCCTGGCATGGGATGACTAAGTGATGGGGAAGGGACACAGTCACCAAGGAAACACCAGATCCCAGATCCCCAACACCCGGAGCCTGCCCAGAGCCTTCGGGGTTTCTGGAGACACACTGAGAGCCTGTCTGTCCTAAAGAACTCTAAACACTTCACTCTTGAAACTCCCTTCCCCTCTGGCTGGGCTGCAGGCCTCACGAGAGCAGGCGCTGTGCTGGGCTCATCACCGCTGGAAGCCCAGAGCGTACACAGTGCCTGGCACACAGTAGGTGTCATGCTAATATCAGCTTATGAATGAGTAAGTGAATGAACCTCACACAGTCTAGCCTCCACCCACAATCCCAGCCCTGACACCCTCCTAAGACATGTTGAGCCACGTACCTGAATGTCCCACATGGACCGGTGAGCAGAGCCCCTTAGAGGCCAGAGGATGGGCAGGTGTGTGTGTGTGGGGTGTTGTGCTCCTTCATCAACACCTCCCAGGACAAGGCCCCCTCCAGGGCCTGCCCAGCTCCTCCCAAAGACCTGTTCATCCCTCTATACCTGAATAAGCTATTGGGGGAGACAGGTGGGGTAGCAGGCCCCAAGGCCCTGAGGTTGGGTCAGTGGGTTTAGCCTCAGCCCAATGTCCCAGTCACCTCCACCCCCAGCCCTGCCCCGCATCCCACTCTGGGGTGAAGAGATAGGTGGGAGAACAGCCCAGCCAACCTCTTCTAAAACGTTGCCCAGCAGCCTGTTGGATCCACCTGCCCATCCCCGAGGCTCTGTGTAAGACTCCCCCGCCACCCTCCAGGGCAGCTCACTCCAGCTCCCCGGGTATCACCCTGGGGACAGGGGTGGGGCCTGGCACAGGACAAGAGCAGAGTGTGCCAGGTCAGGGCGGCTTTTAAATCACAGAGACAGAGAGAAAGGCTCACAGAGACAGAGAGAAAGGCCCAGGGCTTACTGGGAACATCAGCTGTCTCTCTCCCTTCCTATCCCCTGACCTCAGATGGCGATGGGGATGAGGAGTTGGGGATAAGGGTGGGGGAAGGGGAACTTTCTTTATAACCTGTTCACCTCCATTAACCCCTTCCTGCCAATGGGGTTCAGGGACTCTGAAGACAGAAGCATGGGGTAAGAGGAGGGAATGAGCCGGTGGGGGGTGGGGGGGCGTTGAGCTAGTGAGGCCTGTGTCTTGAGGGGGTGTGAATCTGTGTTCTGGTGCCCCCGAAGTCCCGCCAGAGACGCCAAGGGCAACCAGAAACCTCCTTCCCTTCCAAGGCACACGCACGGCAGGGGGTGTGTGGCTGTTGGGAAAGAAGGGACTCTGTTTCATGCCACCAGCTGGGGTGTGGTTCCAAGCGGGTCTGGGGATGCGGTGACCTCGCTGCGCTCTCTCTCTGCGAGCAGCACCCCGGCTCCCGCGCCCTGTGCCCCTCGGGGCACCGCGTCCCCTGGGGCTCGGCGGGCGTGAGGTGGGGTGCGGCTTAGTCCGGGAGGGGCGGGTCGCTCCCCTACCCCTCTAGTTTCCTCGGAGCGGTCGAGAGGACGTGCGCGCGTCCCGGGCGCGGGGACCCCGGCCCCCGCCCCCCCCCACCCCGGCCCGCGGCCCCCTCACCTCGCGACACGGCCTGTCGGTGGTGTGTGGAAGGCAGGGGTGCGGAACCCGGCCCGACCTCGCCCCCCCGCTCCAGGAGCCCCGGGAGAGGACCCGGGCCGGGAAGGCGAGGAAGCGCGGTTACCTAGACGCGCCTGTCCCGAAGGAGAAACCGCCGCCAGTGCTGGTCCCGCCGGCGGCCACGGTGGTGGAGCCCAGCGTGCCGGTCCCGAAGGAGAACCCCGTGGACATGGCTGCCCGGGGCTCCGCGCGGTCGGCAAGCTGAAAGTTGTCTGGGACGCTCCTCCCGCCTCAAAGCCGAGGCAGGCCAGGCAGCATCGCCCGCCCCCAGCCCGGGCCTGGCGGGAACTTCCAGCCCCAGCGGCCGCCAAGACCAGGCCCAGGTGGGTGGAGTTCCGGCGCCCGCCGCGCGCACGTAGCCCACGGGAGCGAGCCCGCCGCGCGCACGTAGCCCACGGGAGCGAGCCCGCCGCGCGCACGTAGC